TTACCGGTCTGAAAAGGCGCAGATATACAGTTATCCCATCTAACAGACATAGTCTGGTGGGCATACCAGTATGACAAACATCTCACTATATATTTAGGTACTTGGGCGTCACACAGTTTCTGGAATAATATGATTCATATGATTCACTCGGTCAAAAGCTTTGGAGGCATCTAAAAAGTACTCTTCGTTTTGGTTACATTCATAAGGAACATAGATGTTTAAAAACACAAGCTCCTTGTTATCCAGAGTCAGGCGTATTGCAGTACACCAGTCCTCATCAAGCCTAACCACACTAACCACTGGGTCCAACCTCTTAGACCACAAGATAGCCACACCACCAGCAATTCGTCCACGCTTAATACCGAGCCCAAAGTCAGTAGTAGACTCTCCAGCACTGAGGAAATTATCATTCAAAGAGTTGAGTCCACATAGATCCTGCTTGGCAAGAAAAGTCTCTTGTAAACATAGAATGTCACATTATTCCAGCAGCTCTTCAATCACAGTGTGGCGAACTTTATCCTCCACATTATGACGTAAACGTAGGCCACAACAGTTATATGAGATTAATTTAAGTTTGTCGTGGCAAGAGTGTGATACCGACTAAATTAATTCAGACAAACCATTACAATTTAAAGGATCATTTAATATTACAATTATTCTGAATAGAGTAGTATTTAAACAGATAATCTTGTAGTTAGGGAACAGAGAACGGAGATCAGAGAACAGAGACTCTCCTCCTGCAATGGACTAGATAAAGCCTAAAGATTGCCAGAGCACCAGTCAGTGATGTCAGTGGTGGTCAGTCCCGAGTCAGTCGGTGTCCTCCCCAGCCGACTGGGTCCCCAAAAGGTACCTCGTCTACTGTTTACTGCAGCATGGTCATCTCCTCTCTACTCCCGGCTCCCTCAGGCTCACTCCTTTATCAGCTCAGCCACTAGCTACTTCCCAACAGCTGTCCGTCTTGACTTCTATCGGCCCCCCTTCTCACTCCATTCTGGGAACCCTCTACCGCCTTCCTGGAAGACAGGAAGGTTGACTCCCAATGTTCTGGCAGAGGCCCTCACCAAGGAACATCTCTGACCATACTTAGGCTTTAACTAGGACCACTTACATAAGCCCATAATCACTCAGCTCACCCTTACACAAGCTGATACCAAATAAGGTCTATATGAGCTACATACGGTTCTATTACATATTTCTTCTGGAATCTGGTTTATTTTTAACCACTACAAGATCCATAACAATTAGCTAGAGCTGGCATCTGCTCCAGGAGAGGGCATTGCTCAGGTAGAGTGAGCAGCATGAGCACCACCAGCAAATTTACGTTGTTCGAAATTCTGCAAATATTTGTAGTAATTATTTTTGTGTGAAACCTTTAAAGGCTGGGGTGATTTTCTTTATTTTTGTTATTGTTAATTAACTCAAGGTCAAGGTCAAAGGTCGAAGTGTTTATTTGTCATATGCACAGTTAGGAAATGTGTTTCCTTGTACAATGAAATTCTTACTTTGCCGTCCACATGAATGCCACAAAATACAA